GATCTAGACAGTAAATTAAATTCCACATTAAATCTCAGAGTGGCAAGTCCAGCTATCTCCATCTACTACCAACGCTTCAGGGGCCACATCTGTAGCGGGATCTTCCTCACTTGTCCAGATAAGCAAGACTTGTTGATCTGCCACGTGATTACAGGGAAGCAGAATAACCAAAAAGCACGGGGTAAGGCCGAAAAGCCTTTCTTTTCCTTATCTTGTACTCTATCAATCTTTCTGTTCTTGTTCTATTGGGTAGATGCTGTTGCTACCTCTTATTCATATATAGCACAAGTTATAATAACTGTTGATATGACGGTTGAAAGTAGTTGTCAATGTCTAGGTTTGACTACACTGGACTTCACACTGTCCTTGGAAGACTCTGACGAACTATGCGTTATAACCAACGCCGGAAAACCGGAACACAAATTGGTGACTCAAGAACCGCTTATTCTTGCGCCAATACAGAGCCAACCATTAGGTTATTGTACACAAAGTCTAAGAATAAATGCCACAACAATAAATCACAATAATACTTCTGATAGCTTTTCTCTGTCTTCCAGCTAACGAACAGCGAACGATGAAACGATGACAGCAGTATCGACGAATCCCGCCAAAAATATGGAGGAGTTGGGTTTGAGCAAACAACCATGAATTGATCGTTCAATCTTCAACTACATTGACAGAAGTTGTTGGTATAAGATCATGCATTAGTTTACTCCGTAAAATTCGCGAACCTCAATACCGTCAGCTTCTAAAATACCGTTGGCTTAGGGGGGCGGCTTGATTATTGCCTATGGGATTATAAATGACTAGAATCACCCAAACAAAGGTGTCCTGCCATTGACTAGGTATGGGTATCCACGTGGAAATCCCAGAAGAATAGCTCACCGGAGAGCAAAGACTCGAGTGAGCTCCCACTTCTTTTCGCTGATAGTTCATTTTATTTTTATTTATTTTTGATTTACAGCTTGATTCCACACCGTATTTTGGTACAAGTATGGAGTTTTCAGCATGGACATGGGAAGCCCAAATTTTGCAGGTCGACCATAGATATCAGGTGTGCATCGGCAGGGGGTCGAACCTCGGACCATATGCATGATCCGCGAGAGTCCTAACCACTGCGCCATCGTCCCTCGAACTCCTTGCCGGCAGATGTAGCTACAGCACCGTCCACAGACAGCTTTAAACGAATGCTTGACAATCATGGAGCGGCGTATGCATATATATTAACTTCAGACTTCATTGGCCACCTGTTTTTACATTTTCTCTATTTCTTTTTCTGAATTTCAGTGTGAATAACCTAAACAAATTACATACATTTTTATTACCTCTTTTCTTTTGATGGTGAAACCGGATGGCTAACTGATGAAAAGATCAACTCCGATCACAGTAGCGACAAAGTCTTTGCACACCGCATACAACAAATGACATATAATTAATCCCAGAACTAATCCTTTTGGAGTCAACCAAAGCTACGACAATCGAGAGGTGGGGCGAACTACGCAGAAGTTTTCGAAGATCAGGAACCTTTACTTCACAACCAAGAAGCGGTTACAAAGAATTCAATAGCCTAATACTATCTCGTAAAAATGGTACTGGATATTTAAACCACGCAAAAGTAATTGAACATTGAAATCAGGAACAGACTTATAGTGTTTTGGGGTTTTTAGCCAAACAAATAAAAACTAAAGCCAAAATCTCGAGTTTTAAAATCACATAATTTCTCCTCTATAGGATGGTACTATTTTATTTTATGGATTGGTGTCTTGTTTTACTTTACTAAACGGCTTGCCAAACGTGGACCGCCTTTAGGCCGTTGGGGCTATGAGATTGATTTCTTATTTTTACTCTTAGTATTTATTTATTAATAAAGGTTGGAGAGTATCTTAGGAATTATTGAATTAAAGCCCGCAACGTAGTCCAACTAAAATGTACAATCCTGGATCTCCTTATATTCCTGAGACAAATTACTCCAGGGATTCGATGACCAGTTCAAACTTGGTTGATTTTTCTCAGCCGAGTTTAGTGACAGATCAGCAGTTGCTTAGCAGTCGTCACAGTAATTTACAAGCTCCTCAGGTAAGTTGGATGTTGAATACACTTTGTGGGTAAAGTGATTGGTCGTTGCAGACCGTATAACAAATTTTTGTTATTGTGTGATTGTTTTGCATTTATTCCAGTATCATACTGACTTCATGTAGTGGTTTCCGTCTGTGAAAAAATGGTCCGTTGAAGGTGAAGGAATTTTACCGACCATATGTCTCTCTTATCCTTTCATTAGTTAAAAGGTCTGGGCATCCATACTGTGTCATGATTGCGTAGAGTAACATGAATTCACTATGCATTTTCGTCTTTCCAAACCTATTTATTTGGAATAACTGTATGCTTACACTTGGTGTCATTTGGGTCAGAAGGTATGCGTGATGTTTAACTTGACAGTTAACGAGGGATATTTTAGATAAAGTTATTACCACGTAACTTCTATGGCTTGATTATATTACACTTTATATCTCCTTAGGTTAGTTACCGAGGAAATCTCTCAGATTCAGATTTATTGGTTAAGGATAGAAGGCTTAAAGCCTATGTTAATCATTTTCTAGTGAATTTCTGTTGTTTTCCAAACCCTTCTTGAACGAATCTGTTGAGGTTGTAGACACCACTTCTTCTGGCAGTCGGTTCCAAGAGTTTATGACTCGATGTGAGAACCAGTACTCAACAGCAATATGATTTCTTCTTGGCTTTTGAACTCTCCTGGTATGTCCTCTAAGGTGTTCCGACCTGGTGGAATGGAAAAGAGAAAAAAAAGAGTATTTGAAAGCGTTTACAATGCAGACTATAACCAATGACTGGGAGTTACCTAAAATCTTGAGTTTATTTATTAGATTTTTACGGGTATTGTTTATGCATTTGGTTTCGAAATGATTTCACTGCATTAAGATCGACCCCCATATGTGAACTTTTCGCTTTTGATCCTTCGGTGTTTATTTATTAAAATTTGCCTAAAGCTGTCTTTGGATTTAAGATTTTGAATGTAGAATTCCCCGAACTTGTAATTTATGTGTTACCACCAATTACATCTTGTCACATTTCTTAGTCTACGCACGGCTTATGCAACTGCCAAATTAAAAGTTCTGGGACTTTTTCACCCATATACTATTCATACACAGTAGATGACTTCATCTAAAAGTTTATTTCTTCACTGCAACCGCCTTTTTGATATTTCAAAATAACATTTTTACTGTTTTAGCTTCATAAATGTTTGTACATTAGTCAATATAATGGTTTTTTTGTTTAAATCTTAAACACTTATGTTAATGGGTGTGCCACAAAGTGTTAAGACAAAACTGTGGGAAGAGAATTAGTTACGTATGTTTAGTGTATCTAGAGAATTACATGTAGTCAGGTCAAAATGTGGCAACAGTTCACAAATCCAGTGATTATTATTCTCAATTAAGTAAAGAAGTGTGTATTTTGCTCTGAGTGTTGTCTATGTACTAAAAACCACTGCAGTTGCATCTATTTATGTTTTACATGTGCATTTTTCTGTTCTCTGAAATTGTCCCTGAGTTTAATTCAGCTTTGTAGCTACGTTAACTTCATTTTCAGTCTTTGTCATCCCTTTAAGATATAATATCAAGTAGTATTTTTCTCATAATTTTTTTAATTTTTACAGAGTATTCATCTTCAAATAGTTCATGTTGTAACAGAATTTCATGTTTCTAGGTACCATCTTACAAGACTAACGGAGATAATTTTCATCAAAAAGTGATATTTGTAGCATGTTTTTGGAGTATATTTCATTGTTTGTCGTCTTTTTTTAACATTATTCAGTCTAATGATTCTTCGCTGCCAGTTCTTACTGTCGCTCTTTTCAATATTCGCTTTAAAAATATTTTCATGCCTAGTGTTACTTAATTGTTTTCAGTATTGAAGAAAGACCATACCTTATTACGCAGGATGTTAAAGGTTCTCAGCATGGTAATCAACGTGCCACTTAACCAGTTTGTTAATATTCTGGTCGACAGGCACTTGGACTCTTGTGAAAAATGGGTTAAATCCATTCTATCTAACTCACATCGCCCTCCCCATTCACAACTCTCCCCTTGTATCTCATCAGGCAGGACCAGAAGACTATATAGAAAACTATATGCTCACACTAGTAAGTGCAAAAACTCAACCATACCCTACTTAGCTCGTGTTCTGTGCGATAAAGAAAGCATTAGGCGTGAAACTTATAAATTATTGAATAGTCAGTAGAACAATTGAATCTTGTCTTTCCAACTCATATCATTTATAGGTACGTTTTCTCTTTCTTTTACTTAAACCCTTCTTCTTCGTTCTTTCACACTCTGTATATCTCGACCTTTTTGTTACCGCTTACGCCAGTAAATATGCTAGCATCTACTTTTCTATCACCTTCAAACATTCTGTTCACTTTTGGCTTCGCTACCGATATGCTAATATTTTGTTGTCAAAACTAACTGAGACTACCCATAATCTATGAAGAATTTCATTTATTGATAATGTACTAAATGGAGGCAATACTGTAGTGAAATGCTGAGAATTTCATTCTGTATCACAAGTACTGTTTTGGAATAAAGCAGATTATTATTATTATTACTGAGATGTCTGAATTGCTGAGCTCAAAGTCAGTAGTCAGGTTTGTGCACTACTTTATTTTCGTCTTCAAATGCATTTCCACCAAGCAAAAGTAAATCTTCTGTATTTTCCAAGTGGGAAATGATAAAATTTCTCTTAATGTGTAGGTCTTTGTCCCTCTGTTGTGATGTTGTAAGGATGTAGATGTTTGCCTCAGAATCTATATACTAGTGACTCATATCCCCCTCGCCTAAATGCTTGAATTCCAGCCAGCGAATATTGGGTTCAGATATTTTTCATCCACTGGGGATTGGGAGCCATACAGTATTATTAACTCATACGATAAACGTAGCTCCATACAAGTTGACTGACTGAGATTCAACATAGAGCTTTGCGAAAAATTGCAGCAGTTTGCCATACTCCATATAGCACTATAGAGGTAGAGAGAAAAGAGATTCAAAAAGAATTATATTAAGCAGGAATGTATAGAAGAATGAATAGTTACATGGAAAAAGATGAGGGTTTAATGTATATACGAGGGATCCCAAACAGTGAATTCATCTGCGCCGTTGAAAATGATTTTGAGTTATATCTTCAGCAGTCTCCAGTCATTAGATCTTAGCATCCTGAGGACCCCAAACAAGTCAGCTTACATCCCCCCTAGGTTACTCAAATCAACTGTCAGTGACTTCATAGATTGATACCAAGCTTCGGTTTGGCCATCTCTAACTTTTGGAAACCAGTCCTATGTCAGCTGATGTTCCTGAAGGCAGTAGCGACGCGTCTTAGCCATGTTTATTAATATAGCTTCACAACTTTATTGATCAGATTGCTCTCCTTACTTAACACTCTACACTTAACCTCTATATTTCTCACTATGTTATTATATCACTTAAAATGAGAGAGAGATAGAATGCAGAAATCGTTAGTCAAGGGTGACTAGCCTTTTTGTATCTTCCAGTTTTAATGTTACACTACCAGTTGTACAGTGTTCAAAGGCACAAATGTGTATTTTGTTTATCGAATTCAAAAGAATAATATTTAAACGTTAGGATTTATGAGTTGTTCGGTTGATACGTATTTCTCTAGTAGTTTCCTTTAAATACAACCAAAAGGAGGACTTCATTATAGTTCAGTATTAGTTGTTGACTCCTGTTACTATTATCTAAAGTAAGCATAATAAATGCTAGTAAAGCTTCGATCATAGGTGCCTGCGTTTTATCTCCTGTGTGAAGTGGCATAATAAGGTGAGCAGTATTGAGGATAGGCATCCGTCGATTGCTAGGTGAGTTGGAGGGGAAATCAATCCACGAGGCTCTGAAATTACATCGACTGAGATGGTTAGGACATGTGTTACGTACGTGTGCCTAGTCATCGCCTTCGTCGACCGACGGGCAATGTTAGCTGACATGGGGTCAGACTGGAAAAGAGCTAGCGGCGGTCAAACCAAAACATGGCATCAGTCAATGAAAACCACAACAGTTAGTTTAAGCCAGCCAGCCACGTAGGAAGGTGTAAACTTCCAGAATGGTTGGGGTCCTCGGGACTGTAATATCCAGTCGATGGAAACAACTAGTTGATATGGCTCAAAATCGTTCTGAATGGCGCAGATGCATCCACTCCTTGTGAAACTATATTGTTCTTCGTTATTACTATTCCTTTGTCTCACACCTCTGTTTACTATCTCTATTATGCATTTCTTCTCTTGCTTTGTGTGCTATAAGGAGTGGAGTGCGGCGACTTGAACTGCTGCACATCGGTGCAATACGTTCTTCTATGTCGAAGACAGACACAGTAAAGCTTGACTTGTGTTGTTTATTTGTCCTGTCGTAATACTGGCTTTTACTTAATGATTTTGATAATACTTAAAAGATGATGTCTTTTTGCAGTGGAACGTAATATGGCTATTTCGAAAAAAAGCTGACAAAATAACACGTGTGTGTATGTGTTGCTAACAAGAACTTAATTGTTAATAGAATGAATGGGTTTGATCATGTGTATAGAAATGTTTTTTCCAGTTAATTTTTGCAATGTCTTTTCTTACTTTGTTTCCACTGTAAAGATAAATTATAATTAGATAGCTTTTCTTTTCCATTTGGATTCATCGAAATTAGAGACAAACATATTTTAAAGCTATCATCATTTCCACCGTTCAGGTTATCTTCAAAATTGATTTTAAAAATTCCATTTCAGACTAGTCAGAAAACAGTATCTGGTACAGGCAATTCTTTTCAGTATCCGCCTCATCATTCTGTCACCAATGATGCAAGGGAAGGATTTTATCCAAATGAATCCTTTCAGAATCAAACATCTCTACCGGAGTCTTTCAATCACACTGCAGTGAACCAATACTATCAAGCAAAGAGTACAATTTCGCAGCCTATGTCAACACCTCCGACTGCTGCCAATTTCAATGGCTTACCATCTACAATGAATGTTACAAGTTCAATGCATAAACCTCCTCTGGGGTTATCAGAAGGTAAGATAACACACACATTATTATTATTTCATTCATGCATAAACGTTTTACAATGATGTAATTTAAAGGTAGATGCTTTCTAGGCCAAAAATCGGTTTGTCTACTACTCTGGTACAAGTGTTTTTTATCAGCTGACTATCTAGGCTGTATTAATTGTGTTATGAACGTCTGTAGCAGAGAAGCATCACACTACTGATGACTTTCGCGCACTTGTTCTGCTACAATTTTTTTTATATTTCCTTCACGTTCCCAGTGGAACATAGGGCTTCAAGCTGGAGGCTTGAAGTTTTTGTAGCAGTGTTTATTTTTACAGGATGAAGTTGATAGCCTCATGCCCAACCTTCCCTACTTACCAGTCTTATTACTAGATAGGTGAGGTAAAAGAGTGCGTTTGTGGCCGGTGATCGAACCCCGGACCATGTGCATGGTCGGCGAGCATTCTAACCGCTGTGCCACCGACGCACTCTTCTGCAATTTACGAGTACCAAAAGTACTGGATGCACTTTCACCGGGAACTTTAGGATTTCAGTTACCATGCATTTTCTGTTGAGAATCGATTCCTAAGGATTTAGAAATGCTTCGGTCTAGATTATTGATTTTTAACCATTCAGTAATAGTCTCATATTCTTCTTGTTGAACTCGTTTTGTGTTATTGTTAAATGAAACCATAACATGCATGGTTCAATATCTCGTATTCTAATTTGTACTTGGTTCCAGTATTAAAATTAAACTATGTGATGCTCAACTCAATTACTTGGAAGAGCTAAGAGTCACACTTATCATGTGAAGGCTGGTAATACTACTCAGTTGCCCAGGCTGATGTAGGTGAGGTGTGACACGAATCCTTGATCTATTCGCTTCAGAGTGAATTCTTAAGCCAATAATTCATATGGGGTACGGAGTAAAAACCATCTGATAATATTACTGTTTCATGCCATTTACACTTACATACCTTGATATTGTCATAGAAACAGATAGTTGAAATGGGTAATATTTTTCGCCTTACATATAATGAAGCAAAAATGCGTTTTCACTTTTTCTTCTAAAACATGATGTTTAGTCATGGGATTATACAAATTCTATCTTCACTTGCTTTAGTCTCGTCATTCAGTCCTTGAAAAACAAGTGTGGTTCGCAATTAGAACTTTAATTTTTAAAGTGTCTACTGAGTTACGTTTACTTGGTTTAACGATAGCTGCTATCTGGACGTGCTGGTCAGGTTTGCATATCACAATGACCCAACAAGCTACACTGGCTGAAACTAATGTTCCTGCAGGTCCCACCTAGCTAGGAAGATTGTTAGGATGGCGATTCGACTAAAAGCAGTTACCGTCATCCTGTAAGAATCTTTCTTACACTATGCTGGGAGTCTGTGAACAAAGTCGTACTGCTAGGGAACAGGAATGTAACAGCAGTAAGGTGTTTACCTTAGATGGCCAGCATGCCAACCAGCTATGCTGTCTCTTCAGTCTGGAGATAGAGGGTTAGGAAAGGTCGACCCCAACAATTGTACATCCCGACTTACCCCCATCTACGGTTGTCCGTAACCGGCGGTAAGTTTACTAATACGGAAGCAATCCCAGAAACCAGTTCACACAGGCCGTGTGTGACCGGCCTCAAGCAGTTGTCCCCTGGGGTCTGTGGTCACACAACACTAACCCTCTTTCTGTTTCAGGTACCCGAAGAATCAATCAACTTTCAGGGTGTGGGCAGCCTCAGAATGGTCGGGGGTGGGTGTCTTGCGCTGCGGGTTGGCCACCCCTCCGCACACCTCTTGAAATGCTCCCATATGACCGTGCGTCTTACATAGCCTCTCCTGAGGAAGTCCTACTCACTGTCTTCACGTGGCGGAGGTGTTTCTCACTAAAGCGAGAGGGCAAAAGCGGATGCCCGGCGCTCTCCACCGGGTTGACTGTCCATTGGATGACGGTCTAGGGGAGATGGCTAAACCCTGATTCCAAACCTTCAACGACTGGCGTATGAAGCTCACTGGAGCTCACCGGCAGACGTATGGACAAAGGGCTTGTTGGATGTCCTGGATGTCTGGCCCCATTCAAAAAGGCGTATGAACCGAACTCCGGTCACCGGCTGCCAATGGATAGTGGACTCCTTACTCCACTCCTACTGCCTTGTAGGTCACACTTGGCTGTGTAAAGGCTAGAGCTGCACTCTCAAACAAAAGGCCGAGCGATTCTGGGGACATCACTGGTACCAAATTCCCAAGAAACTTCATGAACTCGTTCATGAAGCCGGCTCATCCTCCCGTAGGAGATAGCCGAAGTAAAGTAAAAAAAAAGTGTGGGCAGCCGGGAAATAACAACCGCCCACATACTTCCAAAAGCACATAAAGCCCTCCTGATCATCATTCTTCTTTATCCCTGTCACCATCATCCTGCCTCCTTACCACTGTTAGTACTATTCTGTAGGCGGCGGGTCAGTCATGTTCGTTTCACTCTGTGACCACAAATAATGATGAAAGCCAGAAAAACACCCCTGATATCATCTAAAAGCCACGCCACCACCTTCATGTTGGGGTATCTAAGGTCAGGGCTCTCTGCTGAGTCGGACAACAGGCATCACTAGCCAGCACGCTGGCATCTCGAGTCATAGGTGTCTATTGTGTTTCGGAGACACGCATCATGATCATATGATTATGATTATGAGCAATATATTGTGCTCGAAACGTCATCAGTGAATATTACTGTATAACATTGTGAGACTTTATCGAAATAAATTTTACCCATATGGTGTCTAAAGTTCTAGGCCTAATAATCATGCGTAGACTAATTGGTGCTCAGGAGAAACAAACACGAGAGAAAACCAGGTAGGCTTTAGACCAGGGAGGGGATGTACTGACCATATTTTCATCCTTTGACAGATTCTGGAACATAGACGTCTAACAATTGCCGTATTTCTTGTCCTGAAAGCGGCACCTGATTTCGTCTACCGAGAGGTACTATGGCAGTGTTTGGTAGTGGGGGGAGGGGAAGTGTCAAGATAGTATATGGCACTAGTCAAAGCACTCTATACTCAAACTGCAAACTGTGCAGCAGTTGACCTCCTTGCCTCCTTTATGGTTGAGAACTGGTCATTGAAAGCGGAAGATACGAAAAAGCCAACTGTCTTTGATCCGAGTCGTCTGTGTTCTATCTCTCGTGTTAATTGGTATAATCGGGTGAGCAATATTGATGTTGCACATCGGTGGTTGAGTGCTACGTAGGTGGGAGGGGGAATCAATCAACGAGGTGGTTGTGAAGTTACTAGATCGATTCAGATGGTTGGGACACATGTTAAGCATGTATGAATAGCCATCAATCGCCTTCCTCGACCGACGGGCAGCGTTAGTTGACTGACATAGGATGGAAAGGAGTTAGCTAGTGGTGCTGGTCAAACGAAAGCATAGCTTCGCCAGTCAATCAAATCCACAACAGTTAGTTTAAGCCAGCCAGTCACGTAGGGAGAGGGATGTAGACTGGTTGTTGTCCTCGGAACGGTGAGAACCAATGACGGCTGGAGACAGTTGTTGATATGACTCAAAATCGTTGTTGTCAATGACTGGCACAGTTGCATTCACTCTTTGTAATTTGTCATATCCAACAAAATTCCATTGTTCTTCCGTATTACTATTCTTTTTTCCCCTCACTCACATTTGTATATCATTATCTCTCTCTCTCTCTCTCTATTTGAATCTGTCCTTTCCTGCTTTGTGTGCTACATGAAGGGAGAGTGGCAACTCGAACCACTGCACATCTGTGCACACTTTTATGCTGAAACCAGTCAGTCATAATTTCCAGTTTGTCAATTCACTATCCAGAGTTAAGCTAAAAGAAGTAGTAATGAATGTTTCTTTTCTTTTTTCCTTCACGTTCCCCAGTGGAACATACGGCTTCAAGCTAGTGGCCTGGAGTTTCTGTAGCATTGGTGATTATTTTTACAGGATGGGGTTGCTAGCCTCATGCTCAACCTTCCCTACTTACCAGTCTTATTACTGGATAGGTGAGGTGAGGTAAAAGAGTGCGTCTGTTGCCGGGGATCAAACGCCGGACTATGTGCATGGTCGGCGAGCGTACTAACAACTCTGTGCCACCAACGCAATGAATGTTCGGTAATATTTGATATTTGTTGTTTCTAGACGATTTCCGATAATTTTTCGATATTTTATTCTTAAAAGGGTTTCATTTTATATCGTTGTAAACCTTTTCCTTTACAGATAACCACCAGTCACAGCATTCAAATGTAAAGTCACATCTGCAGTCTCCACTGCAACCTCCAAACACGTCGTCTACTTCAATTCCACAACAAAACGATTTGTATGCATCTGGCAACACAAATGTACACCCTAATCCTCCTCATGTATTTGGTCAGTATAATTCGTCGTTAAACTCTCCTATACAGTCTCATGGTACAAACGACTATGACAAGGTTTCCCAAAGTGGTCACACATCTGTACGAGAATTCACCAGTCCTTCTCAACAGTCACTTCCCTTATCCACTTCAAGTGACTATCAAACACCAAGTTTCCCGAGTACGCAAGCGCCGCCTATCCAGTTTTACAACAACACCCAGCAAAATCCGTCTGTTAATCTACAGTCCCATAATCCTGCTGCAGTGTTGCCTCCACATCCTAGAACACTTGCATCTGGTCAAGATGCACCGCCTCCTGCAAGAGCTCATAACTTGGGGACTGTGAACATGGATCCATCTGTTAGATCACCAAATTTATACCCACCGCCTCCTATGCCTGAGGTGCGTCCTCCCTTGAATCCTACTGGATCATCTGGAATACCTCCACCATTGCCTTCAGTTCCAATGCCAAACATGATGAGTGCAAATTATCAAACTTATCCTCAACAAATGCGTTCTAGCGCAGACAATATTCGTCAGTCTAATATGCCTCGACATCCAGGTTATGATCAGAATACTGTTTTTCGAACACCTGGAACTGCAACAAGTATTTCTGATTGGAATAGCTTGAAGACACCAATCAATCTTCTTCAAGAGCGGTGTTTGTTACCATCAGATGGACCTGATTTACCACCGAAACCCATGTTGACTACACCAGTAAGTATAATTCCAAAGGGTATAATAAATTAGTCACATGTGAGAGTATTTTCTATTCGTCGCCTTCAATACTTGTGAGCATTTGTCTATAGGTTAAGTCATTTTGTTGGAGTGTAGCATTTGTTTTCATTGATTTTGAGCTCTGATAAGTGTTCACTTACTATTGTGAAGTGAACGTTGGGTACGATACAATATCTACTCAAAATCGTGGATTTATTATAAGAGAGTGGCTGGAGATTTATTTCTAACGGGAATTAAGGAATACTGTTCTTGGTAGAATTTGAGTAATATATTGGTACAGATATTTTTAATGTTGCTTAATTATATGTATTCACCCTTTCATACTGAGCTGTCGTATTTGGTGAGTAGCTTGCAGATCACACACACCTTGATCAGCAATCTTCGTATGTTTGGCATGCGATTCGCCCCAACAAAATGTAAGATGTTGCTACAAGACTAGACTACGTCAACTCCTAGCTTAGTGATAGGAAGTGAAGTGATAGAACATGTTGACCACTTCACCTATTTGGGAAGTTGTATCAGTATCACCAACGGACTGATTGGCGACGAAATCCCAGCACGGATCCAAAAAGCTCGAGCTGCTTTCGCTGACTTACACCATCTTTGGCGTAGGCGTGACATCCGGCTATCAACCAAGGGACATGTGTGCTGCTCAGCAGTTCGCTCTGTCCTTCTGTATGACTCTGAAACATAGCCAATACGAGTTGAAGACATGAAAAGGTTGACTGTTTTTGATCATAGATGTCTGCGATCTATTTCTCACGTTAGGTGGTTTAATAAGATAGTAGTGTTGACGTTAGGCGTAGAGTGTTGGGCAAATAAGGAAAATCTATCGACGAGGCTTTAAAGTTACATAGATTGAGATGGTTAGGTCACGTGGTGCACATGCCTAACCATCGCCTCTCTCCCTGACGGGCATTACTAGCTGATATAGGTGAAGGTTGGAAAAGAGTAAGTGGTGGCCAAACAAAAACATGGCCTCATCAATCCATGAAATCCTTGACAGTTAAACTGAGTCAGGTAGGGAGATGCAGACTTCCGGGTTGGGGCCCTCGGGACTCTAGGAATCACTGGCTGGAGACAATAGGTGACATGGCGAAGATGTATCCAGTCTCTGTAATCTTTCATATTCCTTTCTACGATTACCCATTCTGTTTCACTCTTATACTTGTCAAACTCTATTGATTCTCTTCACTCATCTTCTTGTCTGCCTTTGTGTGTTATTTGGAACGTGGGAACTCGAACTGGTGCACTTGGGTGCCAAGTTCTATGTTGAATCCAGACAGACAGGCAAGATATCAAGTGTTATTAGCTTTAGATTAACGCGTAATGATGATATGTATGACGCGTATTGTACACGTGACTAGTTGACGTTAACAAATATTATTTGCACATAATTCATGTTTATAAAAAACAATTGTAATCATAGTGGCAGTATGAAACTGAGCTTAATGAGTTCAACGATCTGCATATAGTGCACAATTAGTCGAATAATTGATCTATGTTTCCCAATAAAGAATACATTTTGTAAACTCTGATAGATATTTCTGTCGATCGAGAGGTTCTCTGGCGTTGCCTGGCTGTAAAGGGAATTCCAAGAAAATACATTGCACTGATTAAGGCACTCCACTCTATCTCATGCAGTCAGCCAGGTGAGGGCTTATGGCGAGTTGTCATCTGAAGTGGTGTCCGTCAAGGATGCCAATTATCACCTTTTCTATTCAACTTCATCATAGATGTACTAATAGAATTAACCCTAACTCACTTCAGAGACTCAGGGATTGACTTTCTACCAGGGAATAATCTCGTTGACTTGGAATATGCAGGCGATATAGTCCTTCTAGGCGAAGACGCTGACAAAATGCAGAGTCTTATGAACACCTTGAGCTGCAATCTACGAATGTTTGGCATGCGATTCGCTCCCGCCAAATGCAAGATGATGTTACAGGACTGGACTACATCGACGCCTAGTTTAAAAATGGGAAGTGAAGTGGTAGAGCACATTGACCGCTTCACTTATTTGGGAAGTACCATCAGCCAGTGCCAACGGGTTGATCTCTGACGAAATCTCAGCACGAATACAGGGGGCTAATTTCGCATATGCCAGTTTACGCCGTCTCTGGCGTAAACGTGATATCCGGCTGGTTATCGACCAAAGGGCGGGTGTACTGCTCATCAGTCCGCTCCGTCCTCCTTTATGGTTGTGAGACCTGGCCACTGAGAGTGGAAGACATGAAAAGACTAGCTGTCTTTGATCATAGGTGTCTGCGCTCTATTTCCCGTGTAAAGTGGCATAATAAGGTGAGCAACATTAAGGTTAGGCGTAGAGTTCTAGGTAAACAGGGGAAATCAATCGACGAAGTCGTGAAGCTACAAAGACTGAGATGGTTAGGACATGTGTTACGTATGCCAAGCCATCGCCTCCCTCGACGAGAAATGTTAGCGGATATAGAGTCAGGCTGGAAAGAAGCTAGCGGCGGTCAAACAACAACTTGGCCTCACCAGTCAATGAAATCCACAACAGTTGGTCTAAGCCACGTAGGAAGGTGCAGACTTCCAGGCTGGGGTCCTCGGGACGGTAGAAATCTATGGTTGGAAACAATTGGTGATATGGCTCAAACTCATCGTTCTCAATGACTAGCGCAGATGCATCCACTCCTTGTGACTTGTGATTTCCAATGAAACTATATTCTTCTTCGTTATTACTATTCCTTTGTCTCACACCTCTGTTTACTGTCTCTATTATGCATTTCTTCTACTTTCTTCTCTTGCTTTATGTACTACAAGGGGGGAGGGAGTGTGGCGACTTGAACTGGTGCATATCGGTGTAAAGTTCTATGTCGAAAACAGACAGACAGACTTTGTTGATACACCAACCTAAAACTGGGAGCTATTTTTATCACATGTGAGAGAAAGGTATCCTGTTTAACACTTTTACACAGTTTTTATGCATTTTTCTCATAAATACATGTATTCCATACACAAAAATGCATCCTTCACGTGATTGGTGCTTTCGAGACCGTTTGCTGATTGGTAGTTAGTTAGTGGTGCTTAAAGTTTAACTTTGCTGCCAGTCACTCACTAGTGAGCATCAGATCAATTTTCAAGTATTGGTTTTGTGGGGATTTTTCTGTTTGATTGGTTAGAGGATCTCATCGTGATCTGACATCAGTCAGGGAACAATTGGAAAACCTGCAGGGAGTACTGGACAGCTGTTTTGTCCTAGTTTGGGACTCCTCATCAGTACGCACCCACCGTCCGAAACTAGGACGAAACAGCTGTCCAGTACTCCCTGGTTTTCTAACCAATGTCAACTCATGATGAAATCCTGTAACCAATCAACTAAATCCCTACAAACCAAATACTTGAATTTCCATTGTCACTTGGATCCCCCTTTCATCACAAGTATCTCCATACCTTCCAAGTATGTTACTACACATATTCTGATACTAGATATTTTAGCAATTTCTCTTAAAGCTTTGTATTCATCATTATTGTTCAATTTCATTTTTGTAGATCAATTGTGATTCTGATATAATGCGATGTACACTGACAAATGTACCGTCAAATTCAAAACTGTTAACTCGTTGTCGTCTACCTCTTGGTCTTGTTATGCATCCTTTCCGTGATTTAACCAACCTGCATACAATTCATACAACAACTATAGTACGTTGTCGATCATGTCGAACTTATATTAATCCATTTGTCCAATTTATGGATTCTGGCCGTCGTTGGAGGTGTCCTGTATGCTTTTTGGCAAATACCGTTCCAGATGACTTTTACTACGATCCTGGAACACAAACCTATGGAGATCCTTCGAGAAGACCAGAAATTCGTTCAGCTACTGTGGAGTTTATTGCCCCGTCGGAATATATGGTTAGACCACCTCAGCCAGCTACTTATCTTTTTTGTTTTGATGTTAGTCATAATGCAATTGCTACAGGCTATTTACAACTTGCCTGTCAACGTTTGGAAGCGTTGATCAGCCGGATTCCAGGGGATTCAAGGCGTCAGGTAGCCTTCATGACTTTCAACTCCAGTGTGCATTATTATAAACTAAGTGGTGAGTAATGTGTGAACATTATCTGAAAAAAACCTCGATTCAAATAACTTTTTTTTAACTGACTTGCAAATATTTTAACAATTGCTTGCCACATTCATCATTATTAACATAATAAGAGTGAATTTCACGGGTTTCATGAGTAATCCTAAGAATATTTAGTTACCTTACATTCTAGCCTCCAAAGCAGTTTGGAGCTCAAAGGGGTTTTCAACCGCTAGGTGATATACTATAGATACATACTACTGTTTTTTTTTTAATAAGACGAATGGATTTGCTTCATCTCTCTGTTGAAAACAGCTTACTTGGTGTTATTTTGTGAATGGTGATCATTTGTGGAATCTAGAAGGCTCACTTTGTCCCACTCTTGGTAGAGTCGTCAACTGAATGTACACCTGCAATCTCCAGTTCGTGTGTTGGTATCCCCACTGAGAATCGAACATAACACCCATGGTTTCAAGCACCCACTGAGCTATTTGTGGCAGTAGAGAGTTACGTCTTGTACAACGGGTATCATCGTCTGTGTTAAAGACCGACAGGTCAGCAAAGCGTTGACATTTCTGTCCGATATAATCAGTCAACAAGATATACATAACAGAAAGATTGAGCGCAGAAATATTTACTTTCTAATTAGATCCTCATTTCACTCTGGCTCTACTCTAATATACACGTACAACAGTTTTATTACAATACACAACAGTTTACCAATCAATTGGCTCTGATATGTTTGTTAACAATAATTAGTGAGTGACTGGACTACAGTGACGCCTAGTTTAAAAATAGGAAGTGAAGTGGTAGAGCACGTTGACCGCTTCACTTATTTGGGAAGTACCATCAGCCCCAACGGGCTGATCTCTGACGAAATCTCAGCACGAATACAAGGGGCTCGTTTCGCATTTGTTAGTTTACGCCGGCTCTGGCGTAGACGAGATGTTCGACTATCGACCAAAGGGCGGGTGTACTGCTCATCAGTCCGCTCCGTCCTCCTTTATTGCTCGCTGTGAGACCTGGCCACTGAGAGTGAAAGAAATGAAAAGACTAGCTGTCTTTGATCATAGGTGCCTGCGCTCTATTTCCCGTGTAAAGTGGCATAATAAGGTGAGCAACATTAAGGTTAGGCGTAGAGTTCTAGGTAAACAGGGGAAATCAATCGATGAAGTCGTGAAGCTACAAAGACTGAGATGGTTAGGACATGTGTTACGTATGCCAAGCCATCGCCTCCCTCGACGAGCAATGTTAGCGGATATAGAGTCAGTCTGGAAAAAAGCTGGCGGCGGTCAAACAACAACTTGGCCTCACCAGTCAATGAAATCCACAACAGTTGGTCTAAGCCACGTAGAAAGGTGTAGACTTCCAGGCTGGGGTCCTCGGGACGGTAAAAATCTATGGTTGGAAACAATTGGTGACATGGCTCAAAACCGTTCTCAGTGGCGCCGATGCATCCACTCCCTGTGACTTATGATCTTCAATGAAACTGTTTTGTATTTCTTTATTACTCCTTTGTCTCACACCTCTGCTCACTGTTTCTATTATGCTTTTCTTGTACTTTCTTCTCTTGCTTCGCGTGCTACACGGAATGTGGCGACTTGAACTTCCGCACATTTGTGCAAAGTTCTATGTCGAAAACAGACAGACAGAGTGTCAAAATGTCAAACAGTGGGGTGATAATTAACGAAGAAAATCAATGCACACAATTAAAAGGTAGCAATGGTTAGAATAAATTAATTTTACAAGGATAACACTTAAATTAAAGATGAAATGGTCAAAAAAAATGATAAAATAATTTGGACAATTACAATTTTTAAAAGTTTAGGGGGAGGGGGGCGAAGTAGTCTGGTGTATACATTCATGGAACGATGGCCACGGTAAGGAAAGCGGCTGTACAAATTCCTTTTGAACACACAGGTGTTTGGCTTCTTCAAGTGGATTCCTATTGCTTCAGCTGTATGTAGAAGACGAACTCGTACAGCAAAATTACGATTAGTGGGAATGCGATAAATAATTATAAATGCTGTGTTAACGTCAACCTTATGCTCACTATCTACAAAGTGAGCAATACGGCACAAAGAAGATGCACCAACAATAATAATAATAATAAAACATGTGAGATAAAAAGTGAAAATATAAGTAGAGAACGGATAAAGTACTTCATTTGGAGGGGTGGTGGGGGGTGGGGGAAAGCAGTCATATTTAACAAGTCCAAACAGCATTCGTCAGTTATCGTCTGGAAGGGAAGAAACTGCAGCACGTTCGCCATTGATTGAGACACTCGGTTATATCTGATAACGTTTCTAGCTCTCTCTCTCTCTCAAACTCCAACCAGGAAGTTGTGACGCACCAACAGATGTTAACTTCACACAAATATCCTTTATCTGACGACGCCACGTCATAGGCTGACCATCTCTCCGATTTTCCTATCCCGTTTCAGGGGGCTGGCGAACAGAGACGTGTACGGAAGCCTCTGAGATAACATTTGTAACACATGTCGAAACCACTGAAACCAGTGTTTTCAGATGACGACACTCAAGGAATGGTGGTCTCCACTGTGTCCGAACACACACTGTCAGACCTCGGAATTACTCATTCTATAAAGCCATCAGATGCAAGCAATTCTGCGGAGACAGCTATGATCAAATACACAGAGTCGGATGGGCCAGGTTCTAAAGGCGTAGAGTAAGACAGCGCTCATCGAAGCATTGTAAATCCGACCTTTAACAACCAGACTAGTTTCGGGACAGTGCCAGACGTAGCTCAAGTTAACGTATACCATCCCAGCTTTCATGATACGGTTGGAAATCTCATCCGTCACGCTTCCACCAGCACTCGCACAACTACTCAGATACACGAAATTATCGACGAATTTAAGCGGTTTACCTGCCGGCGTGAGTGTAGGTACAGGCTCCTACCACTTTTGTAACAATACTTTGTACTTGAACGGGGCGAAAGACATACCATACTGACATACTGTTATGTACTCGTCGCTAAATTATTGTTATGGACTGGTCGAGAATCTAATAGTCCTGACGCAAGAAGGCGGAAATCAGAAGACCACTAGGTTTTCGATGATACTTCTATTGTCCAAACACAAGGAGAAGCAATAAGTGGTATCACACCAAAAGTGAAGTAAGTAAGTATAAGTAAGTCACACAAATTGTGAGAGCGAAATATATATGACAAGGGTGTGAACAATCATTAGACAGTCTTAACATGAATGGCTAATTATAATGAAGTATCGATCCATATATACATAGCGAAATATAGCAGACATGTCAACAACCACCATATATGGATATATGTCACCAAGCAACGGACTGTCAACAAACACTCATATTATATATAATATAATATAAGGAGAATATACATTGTTAAAGGAGACAAGTTCATACAAGTGAAATGGTCACAGACTAAGCGAGCAAACAGAAAGAGAGACCAACATACACACACACACATAAATATATGTATGTGGATACATATCACATACACTGATCGGCAACTGGTGAAGTGCAATTTTGGCAGCCTGTATGCTACCGCAAAGTAAGATGATATTGTCTGCATACTCCCGGGTATATACAGAATTAACTTAAACAAACAGGTTATTTGGTTTACCTCTTCTTTAAATCCACTGTAGTATACACTGTCGTGAATTGGCAGAAGTTAGAATTTGTGGGCCATTGGAACGGATCCCAGTGGCTTAATAACATACGAGCTCGCCTTGTAACCGGAAGGTCCTGTGTTCGAATCCCGGTGGGTGCGTACTGATGAAGAGTCCCAAACTAGGACAAAGCAGGTGTTCAGTACTCCCAGGTGATTTTCGAATGGTTCTCTAACTAATGTCAGCTCATGATAAAAATCCTGTAACCACTGTAGTATAGTTGAAAATAGAAATAAAAGCACTATGCAAGTATTGGTTTGTAGGGATTTGGTTGATTGGTAACAGGATTTCATCATGAGCTGACATTCGTTAGAGAACCATTGGAAAACCTGCAGGGAGTACTGGGCAGCTGTTGATGAAATCCTGTAGCCAATCAACCAAATCCCTACAAACCAATACTTGAATATCAATGAAATGCTCATTGGCGACTGGCCCTATTCAGGTAGGTAGTTAGCAGGGGTTCTAGTGGGAAGTCGTGACCAGTAGGGTGCAGCAGGGTCGGGTGTGAGGACAAATACTCGCCGAAGACATTGGCTAGCGGTTGCGTTATATTGTGAATTGGCAGAAGTTAGAATTCATGGGCCATTGGATCCGGTCCCAGTGGCTCGCCTTGTTACCAGAAGGTCCTGTGTTCGAACCCTTGCAGAGGGGTGGGTGCCTACTGATGAAGCGTCAGTCCAAAACTAGCCTGACGAAACACCTGGCTGTCCAGCATTCACTACGGGTTTTCCAATGGTTCTCTAACCAATGTCAGTTCATGATGAAATCGTGTAACCAAAAGCATTATGCATATATTTTTGTGTGTTTTCATTCACTTTCCTTTTTTGTTTTTACTACCTTAGGTGAAACTATGCGAATGTTAATCTGTCCCGATTTAGAGGATATCTTTCTACCGGATAACGAAGGTTTACTTAACCGAATCGATGATTGTTCTGATGTGCTACGTGAATTCCTTTTGCATTTACATGAGAATTTTATTGGAACAGATGATACTGGAAATTGTCTTGGATCTGCTCTTCAGGTAATCATTATGCCTGTGTGCGTGTTTTATGTTCCTTGTCGTTTAAGTATTATTATTATTTCCTTTAATTCCTAGAGGAACATAGGGGTTCAGCTGCGCGTCTCCATTGCGTTCGGTTCTCTGCTAGAGTTTTCACCTGGCTCCACGTCTGCCCACATGCTTTCATCTCCTCTTCACATGACCTCCTCCAAGTCACCCTCACATTGACGACCAACTGACTCGCCGCTTCCCTTTCGAGTTTCACTCGAGCGATGGCTTGTCTATTAATGTCACTTGATGGTTTCCTCAGAGTATGGCCAATCCAATCCACCTCCATTTCTTCCTGCCTATTTGCTGCACAATTGGTTCCAGCTGGGGTGGTTCGCTCATTGCCAGATATCCCTGTTGCTGATCTGTGTTGGCCGGCCATCTGATCTTGAGTAATGAGCGAAGGTAGCTGTTGATGAAGGTCTGTAGTTTGTTTGAGGTGCTCTTCATGACGCGCCGGCTAAGTCTCTGATCCGTACGGTGAGTAGCACTGACTTCACATTGGAGTCGAGAACCTGGGTCTTATTTTTGATGCTGACTGCTGTTGACCTTCACACAGACTTGAGAGTAATGAAAGCTTGTCTTGCTTTCCCGATCCTTGCTGCTTTGATATCCTCGTCAGTTCCTCCGGTAGTTGAAACGATGCTTCCCAGGTAAGTAAAGGAGGTTGTTTCTTTCTGGTTCCTCCCATTTATGCCTGCTGATTGTTGTCTATTGTTGTTGTTGCTGCTAATGTTGCCCAGGAATCTACATCACCACTGTTTTCTCTATGTTTACCTGAAGTCCTATCGTCTCTGGATGCTTCTGCCAACTTGTTGCTTTTCCCTTGCATATCCTCCAGTTTGTGGGAAATCAGACATATATCATCGGCGAAATCCACATCCTCCAAGTCTTTTGTGTGAGTCTATTTTATGCCTGTTTCCTCATTGCCCTCCGCTGTCTGTCGCATTATCCAATCTACTGTAATCAGGAAGATCATTGGCGATAGTAGGCAGCCTTACTTTACTCCCGTCCTCACTTCGAAGGATTCCGTAAATTTCCCGTTGTGGATTACTTGGCATGCAGCATTATCGAATAGCTGTTGGATGAGATGTATAATTGTCGATGGCACTCCGTAGTAGCGAAGTAGTTTCCAAATCACCTATCGATCGACTCCGCACTATCGATGGCCTTTTCAAAGTTGATGAAGTTGAGATAGAGAGGTGACTGTCATTCCAAGCTTTGTTCAATGATGATCCGTAGTGTGACGATTTGATCATTACATGACTTGTTTCACTTGAATCCAGCCGTTTAAGTATAGAGTTTTTAAAAGTCAAATTTTTGAAGTGTCCGCCATAATGAATGATAGATAGTCTCAAAGATCTTATTAAACTTGAAACCGTGAGCAGATAGAATCATCACTTCATTCTTGTGTATCATACATTGCAAACTTGACCGACAGAATTCAGTCTGCAGTAAACAAATGATTAGACACAGGACACTAGTTAATGTCCAATCAAAAAGTACCTAATACAGTCCTACAGTAGGTCAATCGTGAGCTCAAATACCTGCTGCTCAGTGGTATCGTCTCTGACTACAGGCGTCACTGTCTGTCTGTTTTCGACATAGAACTTTGCACAAATGTGCGGAAGTTCAAGTCGCCACATTCCGTGTAGCACGCGAAGCAAGAGAAGAAAGTTCAAGAAAAGCATAATAGAAACAGTGAGCAGACGTGTGAGACAAAGGAGTAATAAAGAAATACAAAACAGTTTCATTGGAGATCATAAGTCACAAGGAGTGGATGCATCTGCGCTAGTCATTGAGAACGATTTTGAGCCATGTCACCAATTGTTTCCAACCATAGATTTTTACCGTCCCGAGGACCCCAGCCTGGAAGTCTACACCTTTCTACGTGGCTTAGACCAACTGTTGTGGATTTCATTGACTGGTGAGGCCAAGTTGTTGTTTGACCGCCGCTAGCTTTTTTCCAGCCTGACCCTATATCCGCTAACATAGCTCGTCGAGGGAGGCGTCACTGGGTGACACGTATTCGTATCCCAGAAGAGACATAAGTACCTTCAAGATGGCAGATACGCCTTGGTGACTGGTGGTGCGTGCCGACTAACACGGAGCCTAGGTCCGTCCCGTCAAGGCTTCCTGTGGGCCTATTGCTTCCAACCATCTAATGTCAATCAGCAATTCAAAGTGCACCATGATGAAACCGCCCCCTAGTGGTGTATAGTGGCCACATTGGAAACCTGACTGACTGAGAGAATTCAGCATTCAATTAACAAAGGATTAGACACATGACAATAGTTAGTTTCCAATCAAATTACCATATTTAAGTGTTGGTTTGTATGGATTTGGTGGGTTACAGGATTTCATCATGAGCTTGACATTGGTTAGAGAACCACTGGAATACCTGCCACAAGGAGTACTGGATAGCTGTTTCGTCCTAGTTTGGGACTGACGCTTCATCAGTACGCCCTCACCGGGGCTCGAACCCAGGATCTTGTGTTCTTTAAATATGTCAAACCAGTGGAAAAAATTGAGTAGACAATATATTACACAATTTTGACAGGCTATGTATCGCTTTCCAACACACACACACATAATAAACTGTTCCAAACGTTGGTTGATTTTATGTCACAGCTTTAATTATGTTATCAAAGAAGGTCACAACGTCTCAAAGTTGAGCAGCTTAATATTTTCTGTCTTGTCTTTTTGATCCGGTGATTTTTGAAATTTTTCTTCATCACTCAGGATAGTACATAATTTATTGACATAGTCATCACGATTAAGAATAACAATACCTGATCCATTGTCTGGACAAATCAGTATTAAGTTGTCTTTTGTGTTTTTTTTTTCGATAACATTTGTCGTTGTCTGCCTTGCGTTCTTTGGTACTGGTAATAACAATGAAGTAATGGAGATTTAAATTGTTCAACGTCTTCGCTAGACGTTGGACTCAAGTCATGTGTTTGATTCATGAGATTTTCAAACTGAACTTTTGTGTCTAATTCGTTAACTCTGGACGAAAAAGTATAGAACTTCAAACCAAGAGATAAGATTTGCATTTGAATATACGATAAAGTTATATTAGAATAGTTAAAAACGTATTTCTCTGGCGAATCTGGAAACTTATTACCAGTTCCAAAGAACGCAAGGCAAACAACGACAAATGTTATCAAAAGAACACAAAAGACAACTTAATGAATTGTTTAACAACAAAAACATAATACTGATTCGTCCAGACAGTGGATCAGGTATTGTTATTTTTAATCGTGATGACTATGTCAATAAATTATGTACCATCCTGAGTGATGAAGAAAAATTTCAAAAATCACCGGATCAAAAAGACAAGACAGATAATATTGAGAAGGGATTTTATCTACAAGTAAATATTTGCCTACAATTTTATTCGACCTTAAGTCTGCTAGAATACCGCTCGTTCTTAACTGAATAAGAGTACATTTTCTGTCTTAAAGCTTATCAACTCTGACTGTTACTTCTGACACCATCGAATGCCTTTCTATGACCTGTCGATATTCCGTTTCCGTGCTGTTATAAATTGTGCAAAATTGACTATATACATTAATTACTTTGTAAGATTTCCTATTGTTGTATGTCCTCGTTTGCGCGTCCATGTTTATTCCTTCTTGAAGCTCACAAATAGTCGCTAATAGTTGTATTCACGTCCAACCATTCTTCTCCGTATAACGTGTCATGTATTTCTGAACATTATTACTCCGGCCAGAGGTCTTCGCTCAGTTATTATCCTGTCATGGAAGGATCTCCCAATAAATTCAGGTACATACATATATACGTGTGTAGATCAGGTTCCAGCGGCTTAAAGGTCTATGAGCTCACTCGCCTTGTAACCAGAAGGTCCTGGGTCCGAACCTTTGCAGTGGGGTGGGTGGGTGCTTACTGATGAAGCGTCAGTCCCAAAGTAGTCTGACGAAATAACTGGCTATCCGGTACTCCATGTAGAAGGTTTTCCGATATCGGTTCATAATGAAATCCTGTAACAAATAGTGTTGTTTTCGCTTGTTTAGGGTAGAGCATATCAGCAATATATCCTAATCGCGATTCGGCTTAGATATAACTAAACGGTTGATGGAATTGTGTTCTCTCAGCTGAACAGTTTCTTAGCAGAGCTTTCTAATTGTCATTCTAGACAACACCAGTACATGCTTTAATTTGAATTATGTTCTGAAGATGTCTAGAAAGACAATGGAAGATTCACAAGTAAACCATTCATCTCAGAGGATAAAAATACGCCAATGTCATTCATGTTATGAGCTACACATCTGCATCATGTCTAACTAAGCTGTTCAACCGACCTGAATTTTGACTATCTGCTTTGGCGGGTTAGCAACATAAATTTCATTTACATGGTCATACACATAGATAGCGCATATATCATGATAATATGAATACTTTAGATTTCTAGAGGCAGGCGTCTCTATAGGTCTCTTCTTGTGGATTGTATAATTTCTAATCATTGAACTATCTGGTTACAGGATTTCATCGTGAGTTTTGACGTCGGTTAGAGAACTACTGGAAAACCTAGGAGTACACTGAAAAACTGTTTCATCCTAGTTTGGCACAAATACTCCCCGATGACATTGACTAGAGGTTGCACTATGTTATGAACTGTCAGAGGTTGGAATTCATACACTGGCTATTGGATCGGGTCCCAGTGGCTTGATGGTCCAGGAGCTAGCTAGCTTTGTAACCAGAAGGTCCTGGGTTTGAACCCTTGCAGTGGGGTGGGTACTGATGAAGCGTCAGTCCCAAACTAGTCTGACAAAACATCTGGCTGTTCAGCATTCACAGCAGGTTTTCCAATGGTTCTCTAACTGATATCAGCCTTAATGATGAAATCCTGTAACCAATCAATCAAATCCTTACAAATTTCGCGAGATGATATCTTCATTTCGTAGTTTCTTTACAACCACTTTACAACTATCAACATGGTTAACAATAGT